ACTTCGTATCATGAACATAGAAAACTTGTTGAACTTGGCTTGGGGAACACAAACGAGTCATCTTTATACCATCGACTTCTTACGTGAATAGTTGTCACATGTGGTTCGACACGCAAAGTTTGACTACTACCGGTGTTATACCATTCACATTGGAACAAAACAACCCGATGTCCAAACAAATATGTCAGTTCCCACACTTTACAAAGGTAGCCGTAGAACTTTATCAATTGGCCTTGGTGGTCGCCTTCCACTACCAACCCACTATTTTGACATTTACGACGGTTATCACGGTCGATAGTATATACGTGGTCGCCTTCCACTACCAACCCACTATTTTGACATTTACGACGGTTATCACGGTCGATAGTATGGAATCAGACGCCATTACAAATGCATCCCGAATATGTATTCACTAAGGCATTAGGTCCATTGGCTAATGACCACATCTCATCAGTTGCTTCGGGTGAGTTTTCATTTCGCAATTGGTTCATCTACACAAGAAAGTATGTCATGTCAATTCTAACTTAGAATAATTCAACATTATCTGCAAACTATACAGTAACACGCTACATAATCTTATGCGATCTTTGAACCATTTAGGGAATTCTTTGCATTGTCGCGTTGCAATGTTGCATGAACTTCCATATTTTTGTTGCAACACGAGCTTGTGTTCCCTAGTTAATACAATGTAAGTCATAAGTAATTGGAATAATGAAGACTTTAAAAAATAAAAACCATGTAGAAAATGTATGTTGTATATATGATGAGGAATCATACTCTAGATATTTGTCCACTTCCAAACTATTGTGTAGGACAAACCAATGAGCCAATTCGCGGTCAGCTACGGACACATCAATTGCCCTTGGGAGTTGACCAAAAGGACGAACATTTTGAGTGAAAATCGCCAACCCTGGGCCATTGTCACCCCTATCATAGTTCCTTTCTTCCTGGTTAAACACCGTTTCAACTCCATGCAAATACATTGAACAAAACGTCATACACTCTTTTGAAATGTAAGCCTCCGCAATGGAACCTTGCTTTATTGCCCACAAATCCTTTAAGAAGTTTGAGCATCCTACATGTAAACATCGGCCTGATCGTCAGTATGGTCATATTGAACTATAATTAAATGAAAAAAGTTCTGACTCGTTGTTATACCTCTCAATAGGATACATCCATCGATATTGCACAGGCCCTCCAAGCCTAGCCTCGTAAGGCAAATAAATTGCCAAGTGGACCATGACATTGAAAAAAGCAGGAGGAAAAATCTTCTCAAGCTTACAAACTATAAGTACGATTTGTTCTTGTAATTTCTCCAAATCAGTCACCGTCAATGTCTTTGAGCACAACTGTTTGAAAAAAATTCCTAACTCAAACAATGTGGTCCCAATCTTGGTAGGAAGTTATTCTCGCATCCCAATGGGAAGAAGTCATTGTAGAAGGACATGACAGTCATGACTCTTGAGGCCAACTAACTTACCACCATTCACGGTGACACAATTGGATACATTTGCCGCATAGCCATCAGGATACTTAATCGATTTCAAGAAATCAGAAAACCCTATTCGTTCTGCCGGGGACAATGTGTACAATGCGGAGGCTTCTCGAAAGAGCCATTCACATGCCTTATCAAGTGTAACTCCTTTTGTATTCGCATGTACTCCAGATCCAAACGTGATTTGTCCGTGTCCTTGTTCTTGCCATCTATGCTCAATAGTGTCCCAAGCAGATTGTCACAAATATTCTTCTCTATGTGCATGACATCAAGGTTATGTTGAAGCTTAAGTGTTTTTCAATAGGGTAGGTTGAACAAAATGCTTCTTTTTGTCCAGTTCGGAGTTGGATTTTCAGTCCGTTGTCTTTTTTGGTTGGTTGGATGCTTTCCATACGGCCTGTACGTCCCCAAATTAATTTGCTCCAGTATTTGTTCTCCCGATAACTCCACAGGTTTGGACCGATTCTCAATTTCACCGTTGAATAGCTTACTTCTTCGCCAATTATGGTTCTCAGGTAAGTACCGCCGAGCACCCATATACCTTATCTTACTTCGTAAACTCTGAGATGATGCATCCATGTTACAATTAGGGCAGGCCAGGTAACCTTTTGCACTCCAACCAGACAAGGAACCATATACAGGGAAGTCGTTGATGGTCCACATGACTGCTGCATGCATTGTAAATATTTGGCCGTTTGAGGCATCATATGTTTGCACACCATGCTCCCACAGATTAGTTAGCTCTTCTACTAATGGTTGCAAGTAATCATCGATGTCTTTTCCAGGTGCGGATCGTCCGGGAATAAGCAATGACATCATGACAAATAGATCTTTCATACACTTCCATGGGGGTAGATTGTAAGGCATTAAGATTACGGGCTACATGGTGTACGATGTATTCATATTTCTAAATGGATTGAAACCATCCGTGGCAAGCCCTTGCCTTAAATTCCGAGGATCCGCAGAGAACGTAGGATGCAGCCTATCAAAGTCCTTCCATGCCTCACCATTAGTTGGATGTCGCAATACTCCATCATCCACACGCTTATCTTTGTGCCATCTCATATATGCGGCTATTTTTTTCGACATGTACAATCTCTTCAACCTCAGTGTCAAAGGAAAGTACCTCAATATTGTGTGTGGAATTTTTGTACCCGTCTTGTCGTTCAACTTGTATCTAGACTCCGTACATGTAGGGCAATTCTCCAATGTGGTGTTGTCCTTCCAAAATAAAGTACAATCATTCTTGCATGCATGAATGGCCTCATTTATCTTTGTGCCATCTCATATATGCAGCTGTTTTTTTCGACATGTACAATCTCTTCAACCTCGGTGTCAAAGGAAAGTACCTCAATATTTTGTGTGGAATTTTTGTACCCGTCTTGTCGTTCAACTTGTATCTAGACTCCGTACATGTAGGGCAATTCTCCAATGTGGCGTTGTCCTTCCAAAATAAAGTACAATCATTCTTGCATGCATGAATAGCCTCATATCCCAAGCCCAATTCACGTAAGAACTTTTTCACTTCATAAAGGGTCCATGGAACATTTTCATCACACTTTGGTAGAATGTCTTTGAAAACTTGCATAACCATGTCGAAAGATTTTTTGCTTCATTTATTGTACACCTTCACGTGAAGCATCTTTATTACGAAGGACAAGATAGAGAACTTTTCACACTCTGGATATACTTTGTGTTGAGCATCATCGAACAACTTCATGAACTTCAACAAATTGTGCCTCTCCGAACTAATACGTTCTTCGTCGATATGATCATCCATGAGACCACTCATGCAAATCTCTCCTAACATGGTTGGAAGTTCCCCCGCATTTTCGTGATTGGTTGTCATTCCAACTCGGTTGCTTTCAGTATCATCATTTCGCATAGTAGGATGAGCATGAAACATGGAACATTTTCCCCGTGGTGGACCCAAGTTCGATAAGAACATATAATTCCTCTTCGAATCAAGTGCAACTGTACAATGTGTCGACTAAATATTGTACTGTTCAAGCAATCAACACAAGGACAACGGATTTCATCCTACGACCCTAAATTCTTCGTAGCGAACTCAATAAATGTCTGAACACCTTCTAGATACTCTTTACTTTTTAGCCTATCTTTTATCATCATCCAACTCTTGTCCATTATTGGAACAGTACACATCAAGCAAAGATGAACCCGGGAATGGACGACAACTTCGAAAAATACTCTATAATAAAAGAGAGCTTAAGTAATTTTAGGGGTTCGATTAGCATTACTTTTTGAAGTGAACGAAATAGTAATAACAGATCGAGATTTCTTGCCTATTTGTCAATTGTATATAGTTAGCTAATTTCACTAGTAACTTGGCATGTATTCATACGCAAATGTGACATACATTCACAATTCTATGTGAAGTCATCTTAGAGGGAGACATATAATTGTAACCAAATTTAAAGAGAAATTAAATTTGATATTTAGATTGGACTTGAATAGATCTCAGCAAATACATTTTGTAAAAATAAATTTTATGAAAATTAGATGGGTAAAACAAAAGTAATGAAATTTTAAAGTTTTGAAACATTTAAAAAAATAAAGTAATCGCTTTATGCATTAATTTGGTTGTTATGCACAAATCACAAAGAACAAAGACCCAAAAAAAGTCCAGTTGGTGTGACTCCCATTGAAGATGCAATCAGCAGATGCTATTTTCCATATGTGAATCTAACACCTCCAAAATTAGTGTACTAGGGATAACCCGTGCCTAAAGGCACAGTTAATAATTTTTTGGTACCACATATGTTACGGAATTCAATTGTAATAAACCAACTTAAAATAATATATCACTCCAGTTTAATACTTCACAAATAAAAAGTTGAAATTGTTTCTACACAGTAAACTGGAAAAAACATTCATAAATTTCAAATAACAAACTTCAAAATTAAAGTCCAAATAATGAATTTTATATTACAGTGTAGCATAAGCAAAGAATAGAATCTAAAAATATTTGCTAAAGTTTAAGTCCAAACAGCAAATTTTAGAATTCAATCCACGTCAAAATGACACATGTATAGCAAACCTTCAATAAAATGATGCTACTGAATTCGTATCATAACTGGTAACCTTTTAACTTTATCAAATTTCAATACCTTCAAGAAAAGGTGAATGAATATTTTGGTACAAAAGAATAATCATCCTATCTAACTAAAAAAAATAATAATTAATCATCCAGTTTAGAATGAGAGCCAACCAACTACACACATAAAGAGAAGCAACATAACCCAACATTTCTAATATGGATCAGCCACCTACAACAACATCACTCGCTTAAATTCGCTTTAAAAAACCAATAGCTATGAAAAATCGCATCAAAATACATATGAGAAATCAACAAAATGATTCTTTAAAAGCAACTCTAATTTGACAACAAAATGAACTCATTGCAGTAATAAAAATAATTTGAAGAACAATAACAAATGCATGAATAGCTTGATAAAATATTATTAAATCAGATGATTTTACGGCTTCAATTTGAACAATACCAAAAAAACTCAACAAACCCATGTTTAAGAGTGATAATTGCATGCTTCACAATTTTTTGCAATGACATTGTCATAGCAATGAGACTTAAGGCTTGGTTTAATTTGGTTTGGTTTGGTTTGGACATTGTCATAGCAACAAATAATCTTCTTTCAATTTGTTTTGTAATTAATCCCCTTCTTTCAGCACAAAATTCATGTACTTCTTTGAGAGCTCTGAATATACCAGTGGCAAGCATAATTCTGACCCCATCATTGGCTGAAACACACGTGAATGTAAGAGAGAAGTTTTCATAGGTTTTACATAGTGAAACCTAACAATAAAATGATAACTCTTGTATAAAAGTCTTCCTAGTTGAACCGGGGAGCAAATTTCAACAACATCAAAAATATGAATTAGGCAAACCTCTCCAAACACTTTGATCTAGATAATGATGTACTATAGTGAAGCAAACATAGAACACGCATTGATGATCTCGCCATTTTTCCAATTATCTAAGCTCTGTAAATAGATCAAATAATAAAAAATAAATTAAAAAGCCCTAAAAAAAACACAAACTATTCATTGCAAAATTCACAAAAAAATCCAAAATTTGTGTAATCACTACTATGTAAGTCCAAAACACAATATTTTTAATCTTTGAAAGACATGATGAGGCCACAATTTTATATTCCCAACAATGCATGAAGCAACACTTGACAAATTAATTGAGAAGGCAAAGAAAAAAAAAACAGAGATGATATGAAATGCATAGCTTGTATTGGCCACAACAAACACTAAAACTAATTTGGAAGGAAAAAATGAATTTGAAAAATAATCCCGCAGGCAAAAATTAGTTTTTTACTTTGATATAAAGGACTAATCATCACTTCACAAATAAAATCAAATGTTTTACATAGAAACAAAATGAAGATGCCATCTAAGTTTAAATAAGACATGAGAAATTGCCCTTTTACTCATAAAGACTTCAAAACAATATTTAAGCGATTACTATCATAAAAAAGAATCTCATGGATGACTAAATTAGTGCATCAAATCTTTAGTTAGCATATGGATATTACTCAGTACAACTGTATCAAATCATTCTCCCATTTTCTAATTTCTTGTATTTTGTCTTCTACAAAACAAATTGCTTTATGTGGTTCAAGCCATCCCCAAACCCATCCAGAGAATAAAAAAATTACCAAGATAAAATGTGGGAAAGTGAACCACAACATAGCTAAAACCAAAGCAAGTAAAACCAGTTAATAAAAATATTCAATCTTCTGACTGTACACCTAAATTGAGACTTGAAGCAGCAACGGAGCTATGTACAAAGCACAATCCTAGAGACAGAAACCCTCAACGAAATTCACAAAAAATTGCCATTATCGTCACTTGCAAAGAGGTTGTGTGTGTGTGTGTGAGAGAGAGAGAGAGAGAGTAAAACTAAGTGGAGCTCTTTCTGGTCTTCAAATTATGTTGTAAAGAAACTAACTTTGAAGGCAATCCCACTTACATCAAAACCAAGAGAGCTCTTCTCCTCGTTCAAGTCTAGGAATTCAAACTAAGTAGAGCTCTTTCCTGTCTTCACATTATGTTCTAAAGAAACTAACTTTTAAGGGGGTGAGAGAAGTTTGTGATAGACAGAGGTACCGGTAAGCGAGAACCAGAGGTCTAGCATCAACACGCCTTTTGTTCAACTTATACTTTTAACTGTTAGACGTTGATTAGGATTGATCTCAACCATCAAAAACAATTGTATCTCTAAGACAATTGTAGGACATTTTCAAAAACCCTTGTGGTTTATTATATAGATAAGTGGATTTTCATTTTTGTTTTGTGGCCTGTCAAAATATATAACGCACTTTGAAATCAACCATCAAAAGTATTCTTACGCAATAACAACCTTTATTGCATCAACAAAGAAGCCATTGTAAAGGGCTTTGGATCAAGAGCTGGTGGGAAGGGGAAGAGTATGTAGATGTGAGAGAGTGAAAGGGATTTGTATATGTATGTATATACAACTATTTATAACAATTGCAAAAACTAAATTCATCAAACACAAATAAAAAGTTCAATTTCAGGTTCTAACCACATCAAATCTTAAATCTTAAACATGATTTCAGAAGTTCAACTTTTAGCCTCTAAACACTTAATAGAACATTTAGAAAAATTGATCTAGAAAATATAATTAATTTCCAGCCAACAAAAAAATTTCTGAACATAAAATTTAGCAATGTAGCATAAATATTAACTATCCAGTTCATACTAATATTTTTGCCAACGTACATATGTAATCATATTAACTTATATCTCCTCTTTTAAACTAAATCAAATCCATTAATTTAATTGCAAACCATTTCTCGCTATCGTATCCTCCATATCTTTCCCTCACTGTTCTATTCATTTGTTTGCACTTTTTTTCTCCCTATACCTCTATTTCCCGTCATCCCATAGTCTCATTGCACAACCAAACCCTTTCTCTGCTTTTTGCTTAAGTTCTCTCTCACCCATGACATACCAATGCCATGAAAATGCATTTTCAAAAGTAGACCAACACAAAAGTAGCTCTTTGAATTGACGCTTAGGGTGTTTAAATTTGGGATGAAGTTTTTTCATAGTCATGCTCAATCTAATTTTAAGATGTTTATATTATCCAAAACAATGCGCACAAGATAAAAACTCAATGCAATTTCGTTATCATGAAAGAGTAAAATATGAACAATTTATCAAATAAAATAGTACTCAAGACCTAAAAAATGTATTTATGTGAGAAAAGCATAATAATTGCTCCAATTATACATTGAGTATCAAACAGAGAAGCTGCATTTTGGAAGAAAAAAATAACATGAAGATGAGGTTTCTTTGTGCCTTATGCTAGTGACCATAGAAATTGAATGTCAGCCGCAACTAAATTGATCTAAACGTAAACCGTATTGCACAACCACCACCCTCACTGTATTCCCCTCCGAGAATATCATTTTAAATTTTGATAGGAATTTAAAAAGGAAAAAGAAAAGATGAGGGAAATATAAAGTTATTATGATTCAAACACAACCTTAAATACGTAAGCAAAATTATTTTTGTTGACGAAATGGTACCAATACATGTTTTATAGAGGGGCCAATTTGAGAGAGAGAATAAACAAATTCATGCTCTTTACAACTATCAATTAGTAAGCAAATTGATACATACGCGTTCCCCTAATATATTCTCTGCCACTGGGAATCCTTAAACCAGTTAATTGATCAAATGTAAAATTAACCGTCAGGATAGATATGTGATATTTTTTAATTATAATTCATAACTACACAACTGAGTGAGTAATAAGACTGTGAAACTGGGCAAAACTTTGTCAAGCCAAAATATTATTTCTGCCACTATACCCATTAGCAATATAAACTTAGGTTTTTGTTTAATGTTGCCCCCGAGACAAAATGTTGGTTCTGCCACTAAACCCATTGACAATAATTATGAGGCTAGGCTTGATTGTTCTAATGCTATGTTCTGAAACCATAATGTTGAAACCATAAGAGACATATAAAATTAGAAAATATTGTTCTAATGCTATGTATATATTGACAGCTAATATATTGTTCTAATCCATAATGTTGAAAGCAAATATATTGTTCTAACCCATAATGTTGAAAGCTAAAATATATTGAAAGCTAAAATTAGAAAATATTGTTCTAACCCATAATGTTGAAGACTAATATATTGAAAGCATAATAGAAATATAAAATTAGACCAAACAGCACCAAGAACAAAGCGACTATCATTATGTTTAGGGACCAAGTTTAAAACATTAGCCAGCTTTTAGGAAGAGTTGTCTCAATTTACGGGTGATGCTACATTTCCTCCTAAAAGGAACAATAAGGAGGATGTGCTCCTAGTAGTGCTTGATCTACTCACTTGGCACTTATTGGGTTATTGAGTGAAGTAAATAATCTTTGACAAAATCATAGAATCCAAAAATCAACTCAATAGAAAGGATAACAAACTGAGTGAATATTAAATTAAACTGAGTGAATATTATATTGTTTTGTGTCCTATACATGGCAGGATAACATACAAATTATACAACATAGAAATTAAAGCTCTATTTCTTTCTCTACAAAAAAGGCCTCATCAAATGGTTCAACAATTAGAAACTAACCATTCTGTATCTCACAATGGTTCATCAATTTTCATCTCTGTCTAACCCATTTTCGTCAAATTTATTGTCTCTCGTAATAAAATCTATCAATTATGACCCACTTCAATTTAAAATATCAAATTTGGTAAATAATAATTTGAATCTGAATACATAAAGATATCCAGTTAAACTAACCTAGAACAATGAAACTCTCAACAACCAATTAGAGAATTCTAAGAAAATTTCAAAGACTTTTACTAATGAGATTAATTAAAGCTTGAACAGTATGATACAACAAATTCAAACCAATTAACTCATGAATTTAAAAATCAATTAATTTAAAAAATTAATTCTATAATTCTGTTAAGAGCCTATTCACTGAAATAAAAAAATGAAATGTGGTTTAGATTTAACTAAAGACAAAATGTAAAAAATAAATAAATAAATAACAATGAAAATCCATGAGCACCAAATCATCCACACGCAGGGAAAAAAAAAAAAAACTCTCCCACATACAGGAACAAATCTGGTAGTCCATGCCTAAACTGATGAACATGACGAATCCGGTAAAAAATATTCTAATCCTACATTCCTAAACATGTATCAAATAAGACAAAATGAAATGTGGTTTAGATTTAACTAAAAAAAAAAGGACTATAGTTGATTTCTTAAATCATTCATTCTTTCTTGATCCCCCTACCCCACTTACCCCAATTTGATTTTAATAAACCCAAATAATGATAATTGTAAGAAAAAATTAAAAAAAAAAAAAAACCATACTTAAAATTTTCCAACACAACCAACCAAATAAATAATCACAAAATAACAATGATCAATTATTGCTTAAGTAAGAATACAAATTAAATACTTACCACAATGTTTCGATATGAAAGGTCTTAAGGAAGTCCTCAAGCTGCCTAATGTGAGCCTATTAAGCAAGCACAATGCTTCAGACACAATGTATTGGACACACCAGATCAAATATTACACCTAATCACAAATTGTAAACATCAATAAAGCAATTAAATTGGACAAACCTGTTGTCAAACCTGCTGGAAAAGATATCCAAAAATTAGAGTAAAGATTATTGAAACATTATTGAAACAAAATAATGAAGGCACGAACAACAATTTTTTAAACAAAAGATTATTGAAACATATTACAGTAAAGATTATTGAAACAAAAGATATCCAAAAATTAGAATAAAGATTATAGAAACATATTATAGTAAAGATTATTGAAACATTATTGAAACAAAAGAATACACCTCCATCCATGATGGAAATATACTTGCTGGACCCAAAAAGATAAGTTATTGAAACACGTTAGAGTAAAGATTCTTTTGCTAAATGTTATACTATTAACATTCTGCAAGTCCCATGAACAAAAATAGTCGCAATTATCATATTAAGATTGCTTACCTTGTGCCCTCATTACACTTGAACTCATTAAAGCAAAGGATGAGAAACTACGAAAGAATCATATTATTGAACACGGACTCTAAAAACAAAAACCTCGTTTGGTTTTACACGGCAATCTGAAACTTCTCCATGGTTAGTATTCTTGCTCACTATTGCATACTGTATAGAAATTAGAGTGAATTAAATCTTAAACTAAGGTTTTGATTGTTGCACATGCATGGGTGGGAATAATCAAAAAGAAGAATAGGCTTGAAGGGATTTCTAGTACATTATTCTTTTTAAACACTTAATCAGTGAATCCTACTTATTAGTGAAAATTTACCACTAAATGTTCACAATCAAAATAGTACAAAAATTGTCCAGAAAGGGGCTCAATAGAAGGGGTTCACATACATCACTTGTAATAAAACCCCACTTAACCAACATTGACACAACCAATGAAAAAGGAAGTAAGATAACATAGCAAGTCCAAGATTCAAGTAAAATTGGCCAAAATAAATTAGAAATGGTAACAACATTGGTCTGCATAGCCCTAAGAATTTGTTGGCGTTGATACCCCAACTTTTGAACCACACCTTGTATTAAATCCATTGCTAGAAGATTGACATTCCATGTCTCATGTATGTTGAGATTATATCATTGTTCACCTTTTTTTTTCTTTTCTTTCTTCTTCTTCTTTTTTTTTTTTTTTTTTATCAACAACAAAAGAAATTGATTTTCAAGAGGTACCAAATACAATCCAAAACACATTTGCTACCAATAAATAAACTTTAGGCACCAAATTAACAAAATATGTTTTCTGATTGTCTGTAATTGATTTCCATATATCATTGTTCACCTTTTTTTCTTTTCTTTCTCCTTCTTCTTTTTTTTTTTTTTTTTTGATCAACAACCAAAAGAAATTGATTTTCAAGAGGTACCAAATACAATCCAAAACACATTTGCTACCAATAAATAAACTTTAGGCACCAAATTAGCAAAATATGTTTTCTGATTTTCTGTAATTGATTTCCATATATCATTGTTCACCTTTTTTTCTTTTCTTTCTTCTTCTTCTTCTTCTTCTTCTTCTTCTTCTTCTTCTTTTTGTGATCAACAACAAAAAGAAATTGATTTTCAAGAGGTACCAAATACAATCCAAAACACATTTGCTAACAATAAATAAACTTTAGCCACCAAATTAGCAAAATATGTTTTCTGATTGTCTGTGATTGATTTCCATATATCATTGTTCACCTTTTTTTCTTTTCTTTCTTCTTCTTCTTCTTCTTCTTCTTCTTCTTCTTCTTCTTCTTCTTTTTTTAATCAATAACAAAAGGAAATTGATTTTCAAGGGCTACCAAATTCAATCCAAAACACATTTGCTACCAATAAATAAACTTTAGGCACCAAATTAGCAAAATATGTTTTCTGATTTTCTGTAATTGATTTCCATATATCATTGTTCACCTTTTTTTCTTTTCTTTCTTCTTCTTCTTCTTCTTCTTCTTCTTCTTCTTCTTCTTTTTGTGATCAACAACAAAAAGAAATTGATTTTCAAGAGGTACCAAATACAATCCAAAACACATTTGCTAACAATAAATAAACTTTAGCCACCAAATTAGCAAAATATGTTTTTTGATTTTCTGTAATTGATTTCCATATATCATTGTTCACCTTTTTTTTCTTTTCTTTTTTTTTTTTTTTTTTTTTTTTTTTTTTTTTTTTGATCAACAACAAAAATAAATTGATTTTCAAGAAGTACCAAATACAATCCAAACCACATTTGCTATCAGTAAATAAACTTTAGGCACCAAATTAGAAAAATATGTTTTCTGATTGTCTATAATTGATTTCCATATATCATTGTTCACCTTTTTTTCTTTTCTTTCTTCTTCTTCTTCTTCTTTTTCTTTTTTTTTTTTTTGATCAACAACAAAAAGAAATTGATTTTCAAGAGGTACCAAATAAATCCAAAACACATTTGCTACCAATAAATAAACTTTAGGCACCAATTAGCAAAATATGTTTTTTGATTTTCTGTAATTGATTTCCATATATCATTTTCACCTTATTTTCTTTTCTTTCTTCTTCTTCTTCTTCTTCTTCTTCTTCTTCTTCTTCTTCTTTTTTTGATCAACAACAAAAAGAAATTGATTTTCAAGAGGTACCAAATACAATCCAAAACACATTTGCTACCAATAAATAAACTTTAGGCACCAAATTAGCAAAATATGTTTTCTGATTTTCTGTAATTGATTTCCATACATCATTGTTCACCTTTTTTTTCTTTTCTTTCTTCTTTTTTTTTTTTTTGATCAACAACAAAAAGAAATTGATTTTCAAGAGGTACCAAATACAATCCAAAACGCATTTGCTACCAATAAATAAACTTTAGGCACCAAATTAGAAAAATATGTTTTCTGATTTTCTGTAATTGATTTCCATTTGTCTACTCTAGGCTTTCCAATAACAATAGCATAATCATTGTGTAATGTGCAAGTTTGAGTGGAATATATCCCAACCCAAGGTTTGCTGAAAGAGTTTATTTGATAACCCAACCCAATGATGAATATATCCCAACCCAAGGTAAGCTTTGTTTTTCTTCTTCTTCTTCTTCTTCTTCTTCTTCATTTTTTTTTTTTTTGGTATTATTATTAAGGATATATAGCTGAAAGTGCTTAATTTGAAATGGGTTGGGGTCACTTCACAAGGTTTGTTTTGTTTCAAAGTTCTACAGTCCTTGTAATTATTACATGTTACTTCATTTGAAAGTTGCATTTGTTTTATACAGAGTTGGTAAATTATTTTGGTTTTTATTTGGGGGTTTGATTTGGTTCATCTGTACCTACCAAAGCTTTTGAGTTCAATTGGTTCCTCCAATCTCAAATTTGTACTTCAAAGAGTTAAAACTTCCAAATTCAAAATCTGTTTTTGTTTATGATCTAGAGAGGTAAGGCTTTTGTTAACTTGATATAATCTTTCAAAATTTTTAATTAATTAAATTTTAGTTATCATTATTGTTATGTTCCTTTATATGATAACCAGATAATTGAAAGCTAGATGTCAATGTGTTGATTGCATCGTAATTAAGTGCAATATTCATTAGTTAACATAACATATGCAAATTGAAACACCCCATGTAAGATGGTTGTGTTTCACTCTGTAATCGGATTTTGTGCACATAAAAAGAACTGCACCAAACTACTCCTATGGCAATATATGGTTTTTTCTTTTCTCTTCTCTTCTTCGTGTATTGAATGATGGATTGAATAGAGCTGCATAGCATAGCAAATGTTCAAAGTTCAATGTTCTTATTCTTATTGAACTGTAGTAGGAAATTTGCTAGGTTTTTTTTTTTTTTTTTTTTGAAGAAAAAGATGGTAAATCTTTAGACATTGTTAAAAAATTGGAGTCTGGCAACCACTGGGGTTAGCTCATTGGCATGAACTCATTTAATGTACCCCTCCAATGTACCAAAAAACAAAAACACAAACAGCACAAAGCAAAAAGCAGATGTCTGGTAACTTTTTCTTTTCTTCTACTCCCATTCACCATTATGTCATTATTTTTTTTTTTTAACTTTTATTTGTTTAATCTATCTGTTAAAGCATCCAACTCAAAACCAATTGGCAATGAGTGGAGAGGCTCTAAGAATATATTAACCAAGCTTGGTGGCTTAGATTTGCAATGTGGGTTTGAGTCTAGCACTATCTTTCAGTGTCTACTTTAATTTCTTTTGTGTTTCTTGTGGATCCAGTGTTTAATTTCATCGTTGGAAGCTGAGGTCCAGTAGTCAAGAATCTCTAAGATTCATTGCACTTCTAATGCTCTCTGAAAGATAAAAGCCTACTTGTTTGACTGATAATACACAATCAAATCAATCTTTTGTTTGCCATTCATCTTGATAGTAATAGTTACAAAAAGAAAACTCTCAAGAATCATCTAAATCAATATGTAATGATGGAGTGAGGAAAAACAAAAATGGCTTATTAAAGATGATAAATAAGATTGGTTTGCTCACCTTTTGTAGTGGCTCCACTCGTTTAGATTCTTCCTTTTGCAGTGGCTCCCTTTTGGGGCTGCCTCGGCTGATGAAGATTGGGATGGCAGAGAGAGAGATGGAGGAAGAGAGAAGATGAAGATTGGGGCTGCCTCGGCTGATGAAGATGAAGATTGGGGTTGGGTCTCTAGTAGGGGAATGGGCTCTGATGGAGAGAGAGAGAGAGAGAGAGGGGTGTGTGTTCAAAATTTGAAAATTGAAACAGAGACAGATTTTGAGCAGAGAGGAGAATGTGGGTGAGAGAGAGATTTCCAGCCACATTATCTTGAGCTGAGGTGAGAGACATTTTGAACCATTAGATCTTGATTGTAATTGATCTCAATCATTGAAATGTCTAAATAGGACAAATAAGAGTAAGACATTTTCAGCCCTTGGATTGAAGCAATCTAAAGGTCCAAATTTTGACACATATATATTTTCAGTCCTTGAATTCAAAGTAACCCTTCCATTGTTATATAGATTCAATACTATTTTTATGCATGATTCACAAATAAGAGTGTATTCAGGACTCTTTTAAGCATTACGCACCAGTTGTAGTGTATTCAATACTACACAACAACAATTTGTATTTTGAATTTTATTAAGAAGACCCTCGTAAGCAAATGATTCATGGCACGTGAGGTATATCTTGAATTCATTTATGTGAGGGCATGTTGGGTAATCAACAAGATCTGGTTTGGGATATGTGGTAGTTCACAGGATCCTAAGGCAAATTGTTTGTGGTTCTCTGTCAAACTATTTCTGCCTACATTATTAAAGGCATTAGAGTATGCAACTGAAGCTAATTAAATGGACACACTCCCATAATGATATTTGAAGATTCAAGGGCATATAGGGGGTGTTTGGTGGGGCTTTTTTGAGCCAACTTATGGCTTCTGGCTTTTAAAAAGTTATTTTGGACTGTTTGGTTAAACTTATTTCAAACAGCTTCTGATTCTAACAACTTATTTTAAGTCAAAAAAGTTGATTCTGGAAGCTGCTCACCCCTTACTTCTGATTATCAATTTTTAATGTGAATATGTTAATTCACAGTTATACTCTTAGATTTTTATTTTTTATTTTTTATTTTTTTTTAAAATAGAAAAAGATACAAATGGACTATAAAATATTATTATTATTTTTTATGAGAAATGTAGACAAATAGTGAATAATAAAAAAATAAAAGTTAATTGAAAAAGCTACTTCACAGTTTATTTAACAAACACTACTCAGCAACTTAAATCTATAATCCAACAGTTATACCAAACAAATTAACAGCTTCTGATTAAAGTCATAATCTATAATCTGTTAAGCTATAGTCTATAATATATTTTAACAGCTACACCAAACAGGACCATATAATACACAAATATGGGCCACGCCCTCCTAATTTGGGCCATTCACTTAATTTGAATTTTGATGAAGTTAATGTTGGGTTGGTTAGTGACTATTTGGTGGCCAACAACCTTTGCCTTCAGAATGGAAGTTATCATCATCAGGTGCACTTGTGAAATCTGAGTGACTAGACTCCTAGTTTTTTTAATGGTTGCCACTACTTTGAATGTAAACCTTAGTTATATCCTCTGTTTAGTATTTTTGTTATTTTATTTATATTTTTCCATATACTACTACTAAATCCATAATGGATGAGATGGGGTATTGAATGAGCAGCAGGTTATAGTAGGATGGCCGCCACTACCCTGTCCAAGTGTTGCTAGTGTATGTAAAAATTGTAGATGTTTAAAAAAGATTGGGGCTCTCTCTAGTTTTTTATAGTGTACTTGTAATTTTTGGATGATATTATTTTTATTCTAAATTTATAAGATATCTAACGTTCACAATCAAAATACTTATGATGAAGAGGCATTTTTTTTTTCTATCTTGATTGAGAGAAGTAAAGAGGTGTAGTGTAGGACGGGACAATTTTTGTATCCATTGAATGCATGTTTGCCCTCTTTCTAATTTGTCAAGAGTTTAAGATTAATGATAAAGTGTCTTGTTTGATAATTTAAGATGTAACCATTTTCATATATTTATAGACATATATAAAACCAAAAAAATTGAGGAACTTAATTTCCCCAATAAGTGCCTTACAAACACCTGCAATAGAGAATACTTCCCTGTTTGATTTTCATTCTCAACGAACACATCAAATTTAACCAACTAATAAATTATTTTTCCTATTACTCTAAATTTGAGTGTCTGATTACATTTAAAACATATGTTGTTCTAAATGGTGGGAACAACATAAATTGGATTTTAATCATCAGAGCAAAAAAAAAAAATTATAAGCAAATTGAAGTGAATTTTTTTCAAAGAAAGGTACCTTCAATCTCCAAAAAGCACACCAGAAGGGAACTGGAATGTCCCTTTAATCTCCTTAGCTTACTTAGATTGCAGAGGCTTTCTTCTTGTGGTCTCAGGTCCTCTCACTAACACATAAAACAAGCTAAAACATTAATTACATTTCTCACGTCTGCATGCATATATATATATATATATACAGGGTTAGTTTGGAATATTCCTGAAACAGAGGCACATTTGGTGATATAGTTCAACAATCCAAAATCGAGAATCCAAAATTCATAATCTGAAATTTCAACTAAACCCATTCACAAAATCAAAAAAAGCCACAAACAATTGTTTATGAAATAAATGGAAAATGAAAGAAAAAAAACACATGTCAAAACCCTACAGAAATCGTGAGAGAAGGGAATGGGAGAGACAGCAAGAAACAAATACAAACAGATAGACCTAGATCGACGGAGAGGGAGAGAGACGACAGATACATACCTGTAATCAGTGGTGCAGCCGATTTGCAGTGGTCGTGGTGGCGAGTGCCGGTGGCCAGCGATGGTGATGATCGTCAGTGGTGAGCAACGAGTTTGGTATCGACTACTCTGTATGTTGGTGTGTGAGACAAAACAGAACAAAAAAGTGTCTATGTAATATATATACTGGGCACCAATATTAATGAGTTTCCTTCTAAAAAGTTTTTGAAGCTTTAGCGACTAAATGATTATTTGTCGCCAAATATCCTTAACAACGACTACAATTTGGTCGGCAAAAGCATCCTATTTGGCTACTAAATTCAAAATTTCATCGGGAATATTTAATATACAAAGACTAACTTAACTGTGGTCGTCAAAAATTCATCAAAAATACGCCCATTTTTAGGCGACAAACATTTTGGTGCAAAATGTTATTACACGGCGACTAAATCAAATTTTAGTAGCGTAAAATGGTAACAAACAGCAACTAAAACTAAGCTTGGTCGCCAATAAGACCATATGGCGATTAAAATAATTTAGTAGCTAAAAAGATTCAATCAATGCCGACCAAATCAGGTTTTTAGTCGCCCAATCTACTGTTTTTGTCGACTAAAATTGTTTTGGTCGCCAATTTTAGTCGCCAAACATGCATTTTGTTGTAGTGATGCTAAACCAACTAACAAAATGAAACACAGAGCAAAGGTGTATAGGAAAAACATATACAAACTAGAACAGAAAAACATGGAACTACTCTCCAAGTCTGTTTTTTCTGTAGCATTAATCTGTTTTACCAGTTTCATCCTCTATCTCTTCAATAGATTTTATGTGAGGCCTCAGAGGCTTCGATCGAAGCTTCGTAGCCAAGGTCTAAGAGGTCCTTCACCTTCATTTTTGCTTGGTAACATTCCTGATTTCGTCAAATTCCAACCCAAAGACATCAAAGCTCTAACTAAAGATGGCAAGGCCAGGCACGATTGGGCTCGTTTCACCTTCCCATTGTTCGAGCATTGGTCGAGTCAGTATGGTATGTACTAATGAATTTCTCAAACCCATTAATTACTCCACCACTTGCTCATGCAATTTCCAATTACAAATGTTGATTTGGTGTGGATTTTTCCAGGTCAAAGATACCACTTTGCTTTGGGTACATATCAAGTGGTTTATATTACTAATCCATAATTGGCCAAGGAAATAAGCCTTTCCACATCATTGAAATTGGGAAAACCTTTTTTTCTACAAAAGAATTCAGAAACCTTGCTTGGTAATGGCATACTTACCTCAGATGGAGAGTTCTGGGCTCACCAAAGAAAAACCATTGCTCCTGAGTTCTATGCCGATAAAGTTAAGGTACTAATACAATACTAACCTCCACCTCTCATCATAATGTTAGATAATTTTTCAAACAAAATGATTAAATGGGAAAAATATGATGCAGAATTTGGTGCACATAATGTTGGACTCTGCAAAGAAACTAATAAACACATGGGAGACTGAAATAGAAAAACAAAGTGGGACAGCAAATATAAAGGTTGATAAGGATCTACACAGCTTTGCTTCAATTGTCATCTCTGAAACTTTGTTTGGGCATAGCAATTCCAAAGTCATCAATGAATTGCAAGCAAGGTTCAAGTGTCTCGAAAGGGCCATGAAAACTCCAATCCTAGTCGGCGGGATTCCTGGTTTGTGGTAAATGTTTGCGTTTTAACTTCCCTCTCTGCCTCGCATAAACACAACTTATTGAATGCTTACTGACTTGTGAGTGGCAAGTGAACATTCCTCGGCTGTTTTTCGATGCTTATTTTGAAAAATGGTTATCATTTAGGTATGTTCCAATGAAGAGCAACATAGAAAAATGGATATTGAAGAAAGAGATACATTCACGAATTATGCATATTGTCAACGAGCATTCATCTAAGGTAGAAGTGCTACAATCGATCATCAATGGAGCTAAGATGAGTGCTCTAGGACCTGCTGCAGTAGAACAACTCATAGTCGACAACTGTAAGCATGTTTACCCAGCAGGGCTTGAAAGCACAGCAAACACTGCAGCTTGGACCTTGATGTTGCTTACAACCCATCCAGAATGGCAAGATCGTGCCCATGCGGAGGTTGCTGAACTTTGTGGAGAAAGCTTGCCGGATGCCGCTATGCTTAGCAAAATAAAAGTGGTAAGCATAAGTTCAGAAGCTCAATATAGCTAAATAACTCATGCTCAAGTTATAAAAAATTAATGCTCCTAATATATATATTCAACAAAGTTTTGCATTAGAAATTTGTGGATGATTTTTTTCTACCATGCACAATCTCTTCACTTGTAAGACTTATGAAAGCTAATTGTGTGTTCCTTTAATTTGAATTGTAGTTGACAACAGTGATCCAAGAAGCATTAAGACTCTACCCTCCTGGCCCCTTCATAGCAAGAGAAACCCTAGAAGATATGAAATTCGGAGACCTTGAAATTCCAAAATGTGTTGGTGTTTGGGTTGCTATGATGCCACTTCACCATGACCCTGAACTCTGGGGTCCTGACCCAAGCAAATTTAATCCAGAGAGGTTTGCTAACGACATAGGAAGTGCTTGCAAAATGCCTCAAGCATATATTCCTTTCGACAATGGTCCCCATATCTGTGCTGGACAATTGTTTGCAATGCTATAGATAAAGGTTGTCTTGGCTATCATCCTATCCAAATTTTCCATTTCACTTGATCCAAATTATATCCACTCCCCAGTAATGGAGAATATTATACGACCAGGACATGGAGTGAACCTCATAATGCACAGGTTAACTAAGTGAATCCTTGAGAAGTACTGAATAATCGTATCTACAACGGAATAAAAGAAAATGATACTTGTGTGACTATATATATATATATTCTAGAGGAGTGGTGAATAGGAAAACTCTATTATTTTTGTTTCTATGTCTTTAATCCCAATTCTGTGTGTATCCCCCCCTCCCCCCCCGGTAGTGCAGTTGATTTATTTTCAATGTTCTTTACAATGAAAGTTATTGTACTTGAAGATTGTACTTGAATATATGTTTAGATTTCTTTTCGGAAGTGACTTATAAGTTAATTTATTGACTTTTTAACTTATTTGAATTGCATTACCTCTTTATTTTTTATATGTCATTTTATAATAATTAAAAAAAATCAACTTATTTAACGCTTTCCCAAATCTAAGTCAATTTTAACAATATTATAGTGGTTTGGCACATTCCCAATTACCCTTGTCACCATTGTCTTTGTTCAAAATCATTACAATACCAATGATAAATCCCATTTAGAAGTGTTTTAACCCAAGAAGTCCATGAAGGAATTTTTTAACCAATTTAGTCCCATGTATGTATAGTGTTATTCCATAAAGTCATTTTTCTTGATTTACACTATTTTCTTGGACACTTATGCCCTTATATTTAATTTTGATACCCTTATAAATAGTTTTTGAACGGTTAGCAATTTTATGATGTGAACATTCATATTTTAAAATTCACATTGGTAGGAATGTAAAATTGGCCCGTGAGCGGCCCGAAACCCGCCTGCGAGCCGGGGCGGGCCCGGCCCGTTGACAATGTGAATATTGGCATTGACATGTTAACATTCACATTAATAGAAGTGTAAAATTGGCCCGCGTCCTGTGGCCGGGCGAAACCCGCCGGCGGCCCATGGGCGGCCCAGGGCGGGCCTGGTTCGTCCCGTTGACAATGTGAATATTCACATTGACATGTTAACATTCATATTGATAAGAGTATAAAATTGGCCCGCCGGCCCATGGGCGACCAAAAGCCCTCCTGCAGCCTGGGGCGAGCCCGGCCCGGCCCAGCCCGTTGACAATGTGAATATTCACGTTGACATGTTAACATTCACATTGATAGGAGTGTAAAATTAGCCCGCGCCCCGTGGCTGCTTGAAACCCGCCCACGGCCCGTGGGCAGCCCGGGGCGGGCTCGGCCCAGCCTGTTAACAATGTGAATATTCACATTGACATGTTAACATTCACATTGATAAGAGTATAAAATTGGCCAGCGTCCCAGGGCGGGCCCGATCCGGCCCATTGACAATGTGAATATTCAAATTGACATGTTAACATTCACATTAATAAGAGTGTAAAATTGGCCCGCAGCCTGTGAGCGGCCCGAAGCCCGACTGCAGCCCGAGGCTGCCTTGGCCCGACTCGTGACATTGTGAATATTCACATTGACATGTTAACATTAACATTGATAGGAGTGTAAAATTTGTCCGCTGGCCGAAGCTTGCCTGCGGCCCGGGGTAGGCCCGGCTCGGCTCGTTGACAATGTGAATATTCACATTGACATGTTAACATGCACATTGATAGGAATGTAGAATTGGCCCGCGGCCCATGGGTTGCCAGAAGCCTACCCACGGCTCGGGGCAGGCTCGTTTGGGTCCGAGCCTGAGCTGGTAGGTTGAGCCTCGGGTCGGGCCGATGGGCCTGGGCCTAGCCTTAGGCTTGGGTCGGGCTTGGGCGGGCCTGGCCATTTTTTTTAATTCTTTTTAATTTTTTCTACCAAAATTTTATTATTTTCCACAAAAAAAGACACTAGGCCTCAGCGCGGGCCAGGCCTCGGACCGAGCCTTAAATGGGCCTTAATGGGGCCGATGGGCCAGGCCGGGTCGGGCTTCAAAGTGATGGCCTAGGCCCTAGCCTAGGGTCTCGGACTAGGCTCAAGCCCGGGCCCAAACGATCCTTTCTCGGGCCGTGGGCGGGCTTTGGGCAGCCTACATTCTTTTTCACTATTCCATTAAGTCCTATTTGAGGTAAGAAGACCAAAATACCATTTTCATTTACTTATATTCTATTTAGTCCACATTATTTTCTTATGTTTCAATAAGTCCTATGGGAGATATAATTACCAAAATACCCATAATGTGAATGTTCACATTGTCAATGTGAATGTTCATATCATCAATGCGTAGAGGCCTGGGCCGGCCCATATCGAGCCTCATGGGTGTCCGAAAAAATCCGGGCCGGGCACGGGCCAAAAGATTAGGCCCATGCCCTAGCCCTGGCACAAGGGTATTCGGGCTTTGGACGGGCCGATGGATCGAGCCTCGGGTCGGGCCGGTGGGCCTGGGCCTAGCCTTGAGCTTAGGTCGGGCTTGGGCAGACCTGGCCATTTTTTTTTATTTCTTTTTAATTTTTTTTACCAAAATTTTATTATTTTCCACAAAAAAGACATTGCGCCTCGGGCGGGCTGGGCCTCGGACCGAGCCTTGAATGGGCCATAAGCGGGTTGATGGGCTGGGCCGGGCTTCAAAGGGATAGCCTAGGCCCTAGCCTAGGGTCTCGGACATGCTCGGGCCCGGACCCAAACGAGCCTGCCCCGGGCCGTGGGCAGGTTTCGGGCAGCCCACGGGCCGCGGGCCAATTCTACATTCCTATCAATGTGCATGTTAACATGTCAATGTGAATATTCACATTGTCAACAGGCCGGGCAGGGCCTACCTTGGGTCGCGGGCAAGTTTTGGGCTGCGGGCAAATTTTACACTCCTATCAATGTTCATGTTAACATTTCAATGTGAATATTCACATTGTCACGGGTCAGGCCAAGCCCGCCTCGGGCTGCAGTCTGGCTTCGGGCCGCCCACGGGCTGTGGGCCAATTTTACACTCTTATCAATGTGAATGTTAATATGTCAATATGAATATTCACATTGTCAACGGGCCGGGTCGGGCCCGCCCTCGGCCGCTGGCCAATTTTATATTCTTATCAATGTGAATGTTAACATGTCAATGCGAATATTCACATTGTCAACAGGCCGGCCCACCCATGGGCCGTGGGCAGGTTTCGGGTAGCCACGAGGCACGGACTAATTTTACACTCCTATCAATGTGAATGTTAACATGTCAATGTGAATATTCACATTGTCAACGGGCGGGGCCGGGCCCGCCCCAGGCCGCGGGCGGGCTTTTGGCCGTCCATGGGCCGCGGGCCAATTTTATACTCTTATCAATGTGAATGTTAACATGTCAATGTAAATATTCACATTGTCAATGGGCCGGACCCGGGCCGCCCATGGGCCGCGGGCGGGTTTCGCGCCGCCACGGGACGCGGGCCAATTTTACACTCCTATTAATGTGAATGTTAACATGTCAATGTGAATATTCACATTGTCAACGGGCCAGGCCCGCCCCGGCTGGACTCAAATTTTTTCGGGCACCCACGAGGGTCGACATGGGTCGGGCACCTACACATTGACGATATGAACATTCACATTAACGGTGTGAACATTCACATTAGGGGTATTTTCGTAATTATGTCACCCATTGGACTTATTGAAACATAAGAAAATAATGTGAACAAAATGGAACATAAGTAGATGAAAAGTGTATTTTGATCTTCTTACCTCAAATAGGACCTAATGGAATAGTCAAAAAGAATATGGGTTGGATGGAATAAAACTCTTAGAAAGTAGGGCAAATTACATAAAATTAAGTACTCGCAAAATAATCATGCTATGCTATGAATACAAATAAGATCTTATCCCAAGTTTGGATATCCAAGGAAGGAATTGTCATCTTGATTCAAGTCTCATTTGGAAGCATATTATTTTAACAATTTTTTGATTTTCTACGAAAAAATATGTAAAAATGTAAGGAGAGTAATGTGACAACTTATGATGACGTTTTAACTTTTTAGTTAAAATGTATAGTTGACAAACGAAATCTTATTTTATCTAAAAGTTCAATTTTTTTAAAGAAAATTCTAAAATTAAACTGATAAATCCTTGATAATTTTATATTTTAAGTTATAATATTGAAAAAAAATAGGGCAAATTACACTAACAGTCCCTACAGTTTGGGACTTATGTCACTTTAATCCCTAACTTTTTAAATGTGACACATTTAATCTTGAATTTTGAATCTTATTTCAAATAAAGACAATTGAAGCTATCATTGATTAATTTCAAAGACAAAATCATCAATTTGATAAAATATAAACTAATTTGACAAAAATAAATGTCAAAAAAATATTTTTAAATTTTTAAAAATTATTTCTATCCATCAAAGATAAAATTATGTAAAATAAATAAATCTTTTAGACATTTGTTTATTTACTTTTTTTCCCAAATTAATTTTTATTATGTGTTTGAATGATTATCATGTAATGAGTGGTTGTTAAGATTTTAATGCGTAATCGATATATTTAATATATGAAATATTTTTAGTTTTGAATGTTTTGATTTAATGGATTGGTCCAATAATGATATCAAAGTTGTCGCCATATTTGACTTTTGAAAAAATAGAAACTAATTTAATGAAAATAAAAATAATCACCCATTACATGATCATCATCCAAACACATAATAAAAATTAATTTGGTAAAAAATATAAATAAATAAATGTCTAAAAGATTTATCAAATTTACATAATTTTATCCTTAGTAAGTAGAAATAATTTTGAAAAATTCAAAAAAAAAATTGATATTTGTTTTTGTTAAATTAGTTTATATTTTATCAAATTGATGATTTTGCTCTTGAAATTAAGTAACGGTATCTTTAATTATTCTTATTTGGAACAAGATTCAAAATTCAGGGTCAAATGTGTCACAATTGAAAAGTCAGGGATCAAAGTGACGCAAGCCTCAAACTATAGGGACCGTTAGTGTAATTCATCCAAAAAATTAAGTTGATAATTCCCACAAACTATAGTTCCTACCAGACCATGTGTTTCACAGAATGTATAAAAATTACTTCTAGTGTCTCTTATAGGAGAAGTTATTGATTGATCTGGTGTCTTAAGCATATTGTGATTGGTAAAAGAGATGAGATTCACGATTTTGAATTGGGTGATTGTGGAATAGAA